CAAACCTAACCTTACCTTACCTAATCTTGTCTAACCTAACCTAACCTAACCTCTGGTGTTCTAGCCTGTAAACCAACCCCACCTTGCCTACTCTTATCCAACCTAGCCTAACCTCTAGCGTTCCAGCCTCTAGCCTAACCTAACCTAACCTTACCTAATCTTGTCTGACCTAACCTAACCTAACCTCAGGCGTTCTAGCCTGTAAACCAACCCCACCATGCCTACTCTTATCTAACCTAGCCTAACCTGTAGCGTTCTAGCCTAACCTCACCTAATCTTATTCAACCTAACCTAACCTCACATTACCTAACCTAACCATTTACCAGGTAGGAGACTTACATCCTCTGAATAATCTTCTCTCAGTTTCAAACCTACCATCCTCGAAAGGATTAAACAAAACGCATCAAATTTCGAATAAAAATCAACGACCCTATGTCTCTATCACGAAATCCCCTTAGAGCCACAGTAGCTCCACCATCGAACATTCTCCAACCATCGAAACCACAAGAACCAATAGCGAAGAAGTGAGAGCAAGAAGAACCGCAGGCACGTGCACATCGAATGGTAGATTGGACTATGTTGAGTCATTCTGCTTTGTCAAGAAGCGAGGTGAGGTCTCGGGTTCAAATCTGTCGAAACCACCGACAATTATTATAACTGACATGTTTTTGTCGGTAACAAGGAGTACGTGCGCAAACCGTAGTATCATTGTCACCCGAGGTGGCAGAGTAGGGGTTTTTGTGGATAAGATGACGACGAACTATGGGATTCATTATATTTCTTAGGATAAGAAGTTCAAATTGTGTTACGCTTTGTACAGGAAATAGATTTTACGTAGGTTAGCGTTTTCATGTGTTTTATTGCTGCCCATAAAGACATAACACGAATATTACATTTTAATTTCATTATTATTGGATTACGGACTGAATGGAACCTTTTCAAAGACGTGTTCTTTTCTTGGTATATTCTTGTGGTATAAAAATATACATAACATTCATCCATTCTGAATTGGTTTTGTTTCGGTCCTAGATTATTTAACAAATAAGATGTGTAATTATTTATAATTACCAGCCTTACTGATCAAACTTTTTGTTATAAACTTAACCCTCGTATAAAATCAATGGAGAGAAGGCGAATCTTGATGTAAACTTTCATACAATTACTAATAACTTTTTTGACACCTTTAACGTCACTTTTACAGAAACAAACTTTGGTCTACTTATTTTAATATTTCAAAAACCTATAATTTAAAAACATCATAAACAATAAACCAATATAGTTTTCTATAATTAATTACACAATATTTTCTTTAATCCACAATATTGTTTATGATCTAGAATATTTCTATAATTGGCAACACTGGGTAAGGGACAATAACACGGTTTCCCGTGTACAGACAGATGACGTATCAAGTATCAGACAGACGGTCAGACAGACAAATGGCACGAGCTCGAGTATCGTGATAATTGAGTCCCATAGGATTGCTGGATTAATATCCTAATCCCGGGATCAACGTGTATATCCAGCAGGTCTGTTTGTTGAATAAATGTGTGAAACACGATTTTGTTTATTGAAAACGATTAGGAACATGCATATTGTTTTTTAAATTGTTACTTTTTCTATTAGTTGTTTGAAATAGTTTAATGTTTTTTTTTTAAAGTTAAATAGGCCTACTAAATGGTAGATAAAATTGTTGGAAATTACAGTAAATATCAGGAAATTACAGGTTTATACAGATTTGAATTTGTATGAAGAGAAATTAGTAAAACAATTGCATGGGATTTCACTAAGATAATCGTTCGTTATTTAATTAGAATTGAACAATTAATAAGTTTTTACAAACTAAAACTACGTGTATGTTACAGGGTTAAATCCATCCAAGATGTTTAGTATTTTCATAACTTTTAATATCGAAAACCAGGTCTATTTAATATTTGAATGCAGTTGTAGTGATTACTTACATTTTAAAAGTGAAAATGTTATCAATAATAGGCAGTGCAATCATCTTTGGAAACAAACTATCAATATGACAGCGTAATAAATCAAACCGAATCGCAAAAACATGATCGGACCCAACACCTACCCCTGAGGTACGCCTCGCTTGGTCCTCAATACCCAATTAACCCGAGTGAAGCCCTCAAAAAAGATGAGCCTCGTAAAATAAGGGTTGCTGAGGTAAACAGGAAGTTTAAAATAATTCCGTCGGGATCTAATACCCCGTAGATTGTCGTTAATAACAGACTAGCCAACCCTTTGCCGCCTAATCATGTTATCGCCTGTTTAATGAAAGATGGCGATCGCCGGACCCTACCACGTGGTATCTGCTCCAAATACAATTTTCATTCATCCCCCAAACTGCTACATCCGGACCGTTTTCATTAGATTTCTTCCATCAGACGCCTAAACGTCTACCGAGGGTTTGGTTTCGAATTTTGATTTTATAATTTGAGATAGACTAGAGTTTTTTTAGTTACTATTACATAGTGATTGCCTTATAATGATAATAAGCCTTTGAGGTATCTTGCAACTTTTATTTGAGGATAAACCTATTTAAATTGAGCGGAATTCATCAACTTATCACCATAAATGTTTGGGACAAAAGCACATTTAATAATACTTTTGCAAAATTAAACCCTCTCCAACAATACATCTGATAACCTAGGAAAGCTCAATTCGATTCCTTGTTAACTATAAACTGTAGGACTATATCATTTTTTTCTTCGAAAAATCTTAAATTTAAAAACTTAAGAGAGTAAACACAAATTAGTTGGAATGAAAAGTAAGAAAACGTCTCACGTAACCTTTACAACAATACATCTGGAAAGAGATGCCGGCTCATTAATTCCGAGATCATTAACAGAAGGAAACCCTCTTGGCATTTGGAAAGGTCGGAACCGAAGATTTCCATTGACACCGAAAGGTCGTCTCTACGTTGGATTTACGTTATGTTTTGAGCCTTATTGGTGCTGACCGCAGCGCACGCTCCCCAAATGTCATCGTTTACAGCCTATTTGACCGGTGACAATGCACGTTCTATGTGACTAGAGATGTTGAGAAAAGACGTTTTGCAAGATTATGGATTTTATGTCATAAGTGGTAAAAACCATATAGTATTTAGCCTATATGGCTAAATGCTTTTTTTACTTATAAAATGAGAAATTGCTAAACAAACTTAATTCAAACGCAGCGTTGATTCGTATACTTTCAAATGTCTAAAACCCTTTTTTACTTGTTTTAAAAACTTCAACACATTTTAAAAATGTCTACTTAATTTTCCACAAAACATTTTTTTGTAAACCTTTCTTTTTTAATTGGATATGCATTCTCAAATAAACAATCAACTAATTTATAAGTTCCTCATATATTTCCCACAGATCCAAATATTTAAGTAAATATGTTGTGGATACTTAGAATGTTGTACAGTGTAAACCTTAAATAGGCGTTCAACTTATTCAGGACCACTATCAATCGATATAATAAAAAAAATTAAATTAAATTAAACCTATCCGTTTTGATAATTAATAGACCTATCAGTCAAATAAACATCACTAGACACCTCAAACGTCCTCCGTGTCAAACTGAATATCAAACAATTCTACCCACCTTTTAACGACCGTGTCCGGAGGTGGAAGTGGAGTGAATGGGGTTGATGTTGATATCCGAGCCGGTGTTTCAGTTTCAGACCGACTGAGGCCAATTTCCCGGTTCCGACGCCACGACAAACACACATTCATCATCATCAGCTCTATTTTTGTGGCCAAACATACGTCTTCGTCTTGTTAATTGCGGGGCTCCTTTGTATGGACGTCCGCCCTTAACCCTCCCCTGTTGATAAGACTGATAGCGCTGGTTCAGTTGTGAATTTTAAATGTTAGCATTTGTGATGTTGATGTAATTGGTGATAATGTGTATTGGTAAATTGTAGGTGTAATCCAATGGTGTTTATTATTTATTATTTTTTAAATTGATTCAGCAATATTTCAGCGATATTATTTCAGCAGTATTTAGCAATATCGTAGATAAAACATAGTCCCTTCGTAGATTTCCCATCCTTGTGGAACAGCTGAAGGCAATTTTATTGTTAGTTCTGTACGGTGCACTGTAGAGGTCGTGTTTTGTTGACAATTTGTTTCTCGTTATTTCGTGCATTTAAACCCCTTTTTAACCAAATAAAACTATATAATCATAAACTATATAATCTCGTCCTCTAGTTATATAACTAAACAGTGAATCAAAAATCATGAAATTAGCCCTAAAATAATAGAAACAACATTTCGTCGACAATAGCACCAAGTGTCACCGTACACGAACTAAAGATGAAAAACGAGCTCCAAAATCTTCAATGGGACGATAAGTCTACTTGTGTCTGTTATTCTATGGCAATGTGCACGATAAGCTATATACGTGCCAAAAGCTCACCCCTTCCCGACATCTTGACTTACTGCTTGCTATTCTCGTGGTTAAATTATGGAGTTCCTCTAGTTACGAAACTAACCAACTGTCACAAAGAGAATCCTTCTTTAAGGATGAACAATATAAAATTACTTGTTATTTTTCACTCATTATTGTGCATAGAAAATAAATAAAAAAATTGATGCAGGAGTCGAGGCAATATTATTGCACCTTACTTGAATTACCTACTTGGTAAAATGAATGCATTTTCAAGAATAGATCCATCCATTGAGCATTGGTCATGACAAGGTAATTGATGAGTTTTCAGTGGTGGTTTTGTTTTACGAAATATAATGCGTTAAAATACAATTGCAGTAGATATAGATATGTAGTTTGCGTGCACAAAAAACTAATTATAAACAAGAATATTTGAAATATTAAAATAATACAGTTTATTTTTGGATATGAATGTTTTGAGTTTTCACAGTTTCAGTCTTCAAACAATAAATCTTCAAAAACTCTTAGTCAGCAACGAATTAAAATTTTTACAACAGTCGGTGAAACAACACAACACATTATGTATTTTATAATTTAATCTAAAATCTTACCTCTGATCTTTTGTTCGTCCATTAGTTGCCGCTCCAGACTGTCTTTTACTTCTCGTTCGCGTAGAACGTCCATCTTCAACTCGGCTGTAAAAATAAAATCGAGTCACAAACATGGCAAAGAAATGGCTTATTCTAATGTTTTAGAAGATTTAAAACTAGAATGTAAGCTTCCACGGTCGAAGCAGACTGACCAACCTTTTCAAGAGATGAAAAGAGACGGTGGCGAACAGATAACTTAAACGTTAACCTAAACTTCGGTCAGTATTTTTATCAGTTCAAGGTTCACCAATGTTTACTTTTTTGGTATTCTATTCCGTAATTGATATCGAAACAGGTTATACCTACAATAATAATTACCATTTTTTTCCAAAAATGCAGGTAATTTGGTTCAATGTTCTGTCCGTGACACAATACAGAAAGATGGAGACCCAATTTTCAGACAATATGATACACTTCAAGGTCTTTTCAGTCGGGTTATCAGCGTCCCACGTAGTGGTGTGGACTGTGGAGGGCCCGATGAGACAGGGGATGTTTTTAATATAGGGGAGCAAAGACCTACTAACCTCGATCCTACCCTTCAGAAAACATCGATTTTCTCCACGTCGATATTAGTTCGTAATTACCCCACTTGGAAGCGTTGTTGTCTCGTCTTTTGTTTAAAGGGCTTAGAATAAGTAAAAAAAAAAAAGTTGTAAATATTTTTCCTAAAATATTAGATAGGGATTTACGGGAAGCGAAGAGATGTCCCAAATTGTTCGGGGCACGGTATTTCATTTTTAAATGGTTTGTGTTCATATTATTGTTTTATGGCAACCTTCTATTGAGTGAGAGGTCTTGTTTATCGGTGCTACCCACTCTTGTATTTAAGATGGTATTAAATTGTCTTAGCAATTTGTGTGTTACTTGTATTATGTCGCTGACTTTTCAGGTCTTTTAAAGTGATAAAATGTTTTCCATTTGAAGCAATTGTGTTTTAATTTTAACCGTAAAATCGGTAAAATTTCAAACATCACTGTAAAGCACATAAGCACATTAGCACATTTGTAAAACACATGTTCTGCCCACTGAGGGGTTTCTTTTCAATATCTGTTGACATTTTTTTCATGACACCAAAATACTGAAAATATGTTCACCTGAAAATCAGGAGTCACCAAAAACCCTAGAGAATGAAAAACACATACACATTAATTTTTCATCATTCAATTTAGTTTTACAATTTCCGATATGTTTACAGTATTACCCAGAAAATTCTGTTTACTCACAAGATGAAACTTGCAAAAGATAAACGATCAAGCCACGATATTTTTGACGATTTTTGATCCGTCATCAGGCGAAGAGGGAAACCTAAACCAATCAGTAAATTTCTGTTGTCTGACGGCGACAAGACAAATGACCGAGGAAAGAGGGAGACGGAAAATTGAGAAAGACAAAGTCAACATCATTTTCATATCGCGGGACGGGAGCATAATTGAATACCTTGGTGACGATTACAACAAAGAAATACTGGCTTGAATTACTTTACAATGCGTAGTTCTTTAGATCGTTGAGCTGAACAGTGAATTTTAATACATTTTACAAGTAAGCTTTTACATTTTGTGTTTGGTAATTTGTAATAATATTTGAATGATCAGTCACATCGGATCAAATATAGGAGAAAATATTACGAGGTAAATTTTTACGGTAGGTGGGTTGTACCGAGATTGAAACATTTTTATTATAATGTGTCACTGATTATGACTATATCATAGATCATGATCATACCTTTAATGTTAGTATTAGAACGTATTACAGTGCATTCCAGAGGTTATATGTTTAGTAAATGTATTAACTATTAATTATTATTCTATCCAACTCATCTACCGGTACTGCGATGTTATACTTATCGATTGTATTTATAAAAGCATTGTAGAATTTATTTTACTCGTTGTTTTTAAAATGCATTAAAACTAGAAGCACTATTAGGTATTCCCTCAATATATTCAATATTCCCTCCCGCAACATTATATGAATTAATTTCATACAGGACGAACGAACAATAAAGTGAATGCAAGGAGTAAAGATCTCCTCGTTACAGTTTGAGAAGAATTAAGGAATAATATAAAAAAATTCCAAACACTCAACACAAAACAAACCGATCATACCACAACAAAATTAAAATTGAAAACGCCTCAAGTAATCCAAGGGACGTAACCAAACAGAGAAAAAAGCCGAAACGCGACACCGACCCTGAAAGGAAGAAGTGGGGCGTCTAAATGCAAGGAAAACAAAATAAAGAGATCTGAATAAGTCAGAGTCAACAGCGTGAGTGGCGGAGTATTTGGCGGGTGTCTTTGTGTTTTCGTTCCATCTGTGGCAAAGTGGCGGGAGTCTCAGGTGAACCCCAACCCCTGACTCACCCTCAGATTTGTCACCGCATCATTCGGTGGCACGGACTATTGAGATCTGTGGCCCTTCAGGGAAACAAGAGCGGGGTTTTTGAGTGTTTTGAGTAAGACTGTGCACTTTTTGGGGGAAATTGAATAGAATAGCTTTTTGTGTATTGCTTGGTGAAGTGTCATTTTTTCATTGTTTAGAAAAGCTTGTTGTTTAAAATAAGATTATATATACTTTGGAAAATGTTAAATGTTTGGCTTTTGCTTTTAATTCCTGTCTGAGTCAGCACTATTTTGTATTTTCGTGGGGTCTTTTTCAAAAGAGGGCGACCACTATCTAAACTGTGCAAAAAATCTCAGGGATGTAAAACTATAAAGCTAAACTAACCTAAACTGTGGGTTTCCCACAATTTAAATAGTGGTGGCACTCTTCTGAAAAATACGTTTTTAGTGTATGCATGAAATGGAAACAAGGATATTAAAAGTATGTGATGGAGTGGTTTTTTTTAATTTTGGAATATGTATTACCTTTTTTTAAATACATTCTATTCACTTATAATTTTTCTTTGGTAAATCTTTTAAGATACTATTCAATGTATTGTAACTGAAATACTGGTGATCTAAATGTATTGCAATCGTGTGACTTGAGTAATGACTTACGACAATAACAGGTTTTTTTACATACCTCAGTCAAATAGTCCAATAAATGATATAGCTCAACAGCTTACATGTTTCGTTGCGAAGACAGCATTTTCAAAGCTTGCAACTCGTCAAAAACACATTTAAAACACGGACACGAACACAGAAAACATTAATATTTTTTTAATACGTTTTTGACGAGTAGCAAGCTTTGAAAATGTTGTCTTCGCAACGAAACATGTAAGCTGTTGAGCTATATCATTTATTGGACTATTTGACTGAGGTATGTAAAAAAACTGTTATTGTCTTAACAATATAGTCCAGGGGCCGAAAACATGAATTTTAACGACTTACGTTTTGAATCTTCTACATAATCATATCTCTCTTTAATCAATTAGACACTCTATGTTGTCCATCAGGCAATACTTCTCCCCAGCATAATCTTCAATTCCCATATCTGCATCAAGACTCGCTGACGGTTCCCCCCGACCGCAAGACGTTATTGAAACTAATATCCGTGGATATAGACAGCAATGTACAAACCACGTCCTTCCCTTTGGATTGTTTGCTTCGACTTTCCTTTGCAACTTACTCGGACTTTGAACTTCCACTTCCTTTTGGAACTTGGAGAATGTTTGAGAGTATCTTTGAGTGTTGAGAATTATTCTGGCATTCAGCGGAGTGTGGTGTGTAGGGTTGAAAGTTTGGTAAAGACATACGTAATGTAAAACTTTAGTTGCAGTATCCACCAGTTATTTCTATCATACATTTTCACGCTTTATGTTCTTTTTTCATTGGAAATTATCTTCACTAATAAACAGCTGTTCTTAGTCAGTAACAACGCTTCACAGATCATCACACTCCATTCTACACTCATCCTTCACTCATATTTGGATTAAAATACGCACCTAGGTGGCGTTCCCATCTCAGTGATTTATAATTGACAATTGATATTCACGCAATATGCATGTTTTTGTTTAAGTTTTTGTTAGAAATGGTCTTGTTACTATCTAAACGTCAACCGAAATGGTGTTTGGGCCAAGAATTGTTTTTGCTTTGGAATCGAAACATCTATCTTAAGGTTTTAAGGCAAGTCATGTGATTCATGTGAACCACTTGACTACGCTAAAAATTGAAAAACTTACAAAATCTAAGTTTGGTTCAAATACTTGACGATTTCTTGAAAACCAAACTCAAGTTTGCTTAGAGACAGTTCCAAAATTCAAAAGTTTAAAAAAGAAACGTTTAGCCTGAAATCAAGACAGGTGTTTGGGCCAAGAATTGTTTTTGCTTTGGAATCGAAACATCTATCTTAAGGTTTTAAGGCAAGTCATGTGATTCATGTGAACCACTTGACTACGCTGAAAATTGAAAAACTAACTTACAAAATCTAAGTTTGGTTCAAATACTTGACGATTTCTTGAACACCAAACTCAAGTTTGCTTAGACAGTTCAAAAATTCAAAACTTTAAAAAGAAAAGAAACGTTTAGCCTGAAATCAAGACAGAAGTAGCAGTAAATTATATTGCACCAAAAAATGCCATGATCCAAATGTTGAGAACCTGGTTTCTCTGTGGAAGAAACAGGTTATCTCAATCGATTTGATTCATCTGGTTTCCTACAGAATTATCACATCTCCCAATAGTTGTCAACAATATCACGATTACTTGCGTGTCAACTAAACTGTCAACCGGTTGAACAACCAGCTGAACCTATAAACACAACGAAGCACTCTGCGGTTGAATATTTCAGCGGGTAATGGAGCCGAGACGTATTGTACAGAATGTAATAATAATTAAGAGCGTGTTCGCAGTCCTCTATTATGAGGCATCTCTTATTCAGTGTCGCTTGTGCTCGTACGACGCCCGCAGTATCGCTAATTTAATGTACGTTTATTGTAACCAGAGCCTTAGAACATTCGGCTTCGTGGAACCCATTGTTGCCGAAGGCGATGTGAGCATCGTGATTGTTTCATTCTCAACTCGGTTTCAGCATTTGAACGTTAATGAGCCGTTGATGTTTTCCATTGTTGAGTTTGTTCGGTTTTTACGAAGGGTTTTTGTAAAAAAAACT